AACTGCACCAAAATAACCATTCCAAAATTACATGAATCATGGCGTGTTTTGGAGTATCTGCTTCCTTAAAAGCAGATGTTGTTTAAGTGCGTGGCTAAGTGTGATCACTATTGAGGGGAAGCTTTGGAAAAGGCAGCTGCCTACTCTTCTCTCACCGGGAGGGATGACTCTGCCCTGCGAGCTGCATCTCTGTCCTTGGACTCCTTTGCCTTCCTTGAGAATTGGTCGACTTGACAATGTACCTGCGTGCTTGGGAAGGGGTCCATGGAGAGAGGCAGGCCTTGGAGGACAGCAAAATTCATCTGCTTCCCCAGCAGGGTCACTCCCTGCTAGAATGATGAGGGTTTTGGTAACAAGGTGGATGGTTTGTAATGACCGGGGCATCTCCTCCTTGACACTGCAATGCATTTTCACCCAGGAGGTAGGAGCAAGTCGTCCTTATTCTATTCAACCCAGACCAGCCCTCGTTAAGCAAGTGACAGTTCCCGGGAGATGTGGACAACCCCTCTTCTCTTCCTGTTATCACTGTGCCCCATTGTCTTCCTATCACGTATCCCTCTCTCTGGAAATCATTATTCTTTGCTTCTATGTTAACTATCTGCCTCCTCCCGGAGTAGAAAGTAAAACCCAGGAGGGCAGGACCATGTGGCCAACATGACAGGAGTTCAAGTCTTTGCACGAGCAGATGAATGACAAGTTCTGGCAAGTCACAAAGAATCACTTCCAATGGCATTTGTAAGTAGTGTCTTCAGGAACCACGCAGTGAAACAAGAATGGCCCCAGTGCCTTCCCCACTGTGGTGTGTGGGGTGACTCGTTGGAGACAGGGCAGAGGGAAGACAGCTCAGGGGAGTGTCAACACTCACTCGTGCTGGGACCTCCCTGATGAGACAAGATGATGGTCACAATATGGGCAAAGAAAGGTGTGTACTGATGCCCATGCACTGAGGTGAAAGTCATGGGAAGACTCAGCCTGACCCAATAGGGCTGCAGGTCCCAGCCCTGAACCTCAGCCCTGGCTCTTCATCTTATCTCCTAAGAGACTGGATCAGCCCAGCTTCCTGAGCTGCTGATGATACTGGGCCATCTGGGAGAAGAAGAAAGAAAAAAAAAGAGGAGGAGGAAGAGGAGAAGGAGGAGGAAGGGGAGGAGGAGAAGAAGGAAAGATGGATCAACTCCGTGGGCAGCAAGAGTCAAAAGGAGACCTTACAAGGCAAAAGGGTCAATTCTCTGATATGTGCATTTCTTAATATGACAAATGGGAATGGGCATCCTCACACAAAATTCCTGAAGATTAAAGCCTATGCAGAAGACTGCCTGATGTGGGAACGTGGCTGAGACGGAGCAATGTATCTGTGAGAAGGAAGACTGAAGTTGTCAAGGTCACAGGAGGAACTACCCAGTTCCTGGGGGTGACATTCAGAGTTGGTGGGATTTGCTGTAAGTCCAGGTTCCTAAGTTTCAAATGCTCCGTGAAGGACTGAGATGAACACGTAGTCAAATGCAGCCTGAGATGTCCACCCAAACTCCGGTTGGAGAAGGACCAGAAAGATGTGGGGGAACCAAGGCGTTCTAGGTGTTGTCTCCTTCCTGCACAAGAAAGACACTGGTTGTGGAGACTAACAGCCCTCTGTCGTGCCCGAGGGGTCCCTCCACTTCCACACCGCGTGTGGGCAGGCTGTAACCAAGCAGGAAGATGCGGTGGGCACACGGCCTGGCTTTGCCCTGGACGCTGCTGGAATCTGAGCCCGACGGGGAATGACCAGGAAGCTTTCCCGGCCGAGCCTGGGGCCCCTTTCCCTTGGCACTCAGAGCTGGTTAACCAAAGTAATTACACCCATTGTTTCAACCAGATAAAAATGACAAATGCACGAAGACTAGAAGTAATTAAGTCTAGAAAAAGACCGGACTGGACGTCAGAGTGCCCAATGCCCAGCCCAGCTGCTCCGAAAGCTTTAATGGTAGACCATGGACAGAGGTCTGCGTGCAGCAGGGTCACGGCCACGGATTTCCGCCACCGCAGGGATGAGATGGAGGTGGACGGAAGCTGGGGGACTCACCAAACTACAGCGCTCTTCCTCCGAGTGCTTTTCTGGAGGGACAGATAATCTACAGCTAATGTGAGGGCCTACTGTGGCCGCGGAAGGCCGAGGAGAGCAGAGGCCAAAGCGGAGCTCGGCCTTGGGCTGCAGAGCGACGGCCTGGCCACACCGCTCCCCGGACACACAGCGTCGTGCACGGGGCCTGACTCCGGGAACGCCTGTACAATCTCACGTTATGGACCTTCTCACGGGCAGAGCTGAATTCCTAAGGCTGCTCGCTTTCCTTGACGAGCCCCTGTGCGGAGCTGATGCCTCCACATTTCTCGGGGACCATGGAAAAACCAGAATCCCTACATGCACACACTCCCCCGAGCATTCTGGAACACTAGCCTTCCCCGAGGTGGGTTTGTCCTGACAGATGTCAACTGCGAGCAGACTCCCTGGTGGGGAACGTGCGGGCACCTGTCGGCTATGTGTGTGGCGCCCGGCCCAGCCCGGAGAGCTGGCCCAGTGGGCGGTGTGTGTCGGGGGGACTTGGTCACTTTAAGCATCCTTCGAAAGCTGGGCGTCCCGTGGTGCTCTGGAAAGAGGTCAGGTGTCGGGAGTGCAGCCCGAGGCCCGGGGAAGGGGCTGAGCAGCAGTCCGACAGGAGGTGTGGACGCCAGACTGTGGCATCATCAGGAATCCCAGGTTCCTGCTGTGGGTGAACAAACAGGCCCCCTGCCGTCACCTCCTCCTCAGCCGGGCTCCCTGGAGCTCAGGGTGTTGGAGAGCAGAGCGCAGCTTCTGTTGCCCCAGCGGGCGCGGACAGCCCTTGCCTTGCACTCACACCGAGCTGTGCCCACCTGAGTCAGGAAGGCCCCCGCGCCGCCTCCAAAAACCCGCAGGTAATGAGATGCATGAACGGGGTGACGGATGGAGAGAGGTGAGCCTCCCAGCGCCATGCAGGGGAGCCCCGGCAACCGGAGACGCCAGCGGCAGGCGTGTGCCGAAGCTTTGGGGGAAAGTGACAACACCAGATCCAGCCCCCAAATCGGGCTTCCCCACGGGCGGGCGATTCCCAACAACACAGACCTAGCACTACGGTTCCTTCCTCCCCTGGACTCACTTGGTCTCCCACATTCCAAGAGGCGTGGAAGCACATTTCAAGGTGTTGTACAGGGAGACGGAGCCTGATGGAAGAAAGAGGTCACCAGCCTGGCCAGTACAGGGGCTCGAGGTTAGCTGCCCACCTGACCTACAACGTTCTGATCTGGTCTACAGGGCATTTCACGAGACGGGTTCACACACCCTCCCAGTGAAATCAAAGTCACCCGCGGGCCATTCATAGAGGGCAGGCCACACACATCGAATTTGGGATCCCTGTGAGGAGAAAACAGCATCCAACGGAGCCTCCCGTCACTCACAGGGCACAAGGGTGCACCAGGGCACCACTGGGGAGGGAGCTGCGCTCCCCAAACATGGCAGTGTTTCTCATGAATCACGTGTGCTCGTGATCCCCTCTCCCGAGGCTTCAGCCTTGAGCCCCTCTTTCCACTGGAAAACCCCACTCTAGGATTCTTGATGGCAAAAACACAGATGTTGGCCAACCAGCGCTAGCGAGAGACAGGGTCTTTGCTCCAGTCCTCACCAAGATTGTAAGCTGTGCTTGGGCTCTAGAGAGAGCAGGAACCTGTCCACCAACATGCGTGAAATGAATGTGGGGTGCACTCCAGGGCACAGCCCCCGTGGGAGTAGCCTGGGTCCTTTGCACACGGACTTCTTTCTCGTTTTCCAACAAACGGGGACCCTCGTAGATGTCTGAGTTCTGTTCTGACATAGGCACACACATTATAAGGATAGATTCCTTTAATTTTTGGAGCTGGAAAATTTTCTTTAATTCGGTCTACGCTTGTATAACACAAAGATGGTTAAGAATCCGCCCCCCGCCCGGGCTGACGCTCAGCCCATTTGTAAGCAGCCGACTACGTACACGTGTGCGTGGCTGTTAGGTAGCTCCTTCAAACAACTAAATGGGAAAAAAAACAAGGTCATGTTCATGCGTCTCTCTCTCTCCCCCTACATGCCGGTCTGTAAAACCACGGCATTCTCGATTCTGGCCTGAGACAAGAAAGTCTACATCTAGAGCCACTCACCGGATACCAGCCAATGTAGGGTGTCAGGAGGGGTCGGTCTGCAGGGTCCCGGCTGTCCCCGGGGACGGGCGGCAATGGGAGGCCAGGTCACCGGAAGGGATATGCTCACTCGTGGAACCGCGTTTCCAGTGTAGGCGTCTCTATGCGTGTGTGCGTGTGCGCACGCGTGTGGGCCCGTGTGCGCGTGTGCCTGTGTGTGTGATATGTTGCCAAAGTAGAAAACAGTTTATTCTGTTCATACTAAGCATGGTAAATAAACCAGGTTCTGTAACCAATAACATTTTTTTTTAAAAAGGAACATTGAAGGTCTTCAAAAATTGCTACAGTACAAAAAAAGTGTGTGTGTGTGTCTTGTGTATTTAATATTTATATATGTATATTAACCAGAAATAGCGACTCTATTGGAAGATTCCCACCCCTTGTTTCAGTCAGGTTTCTACACGTGGTTTGCTTGGCTTCGCCGCGGTCACCAAGTCCTTCGGGTCACTACATGGCACATAATGGTATTATTGGCAAAGGTTCAGAATCAGTCCAAATCCCAGGCTCCAGGAGCTTCCTGTCGGCCTTTCTTCTCCGTCTGCAGCTGCTTTCTTGCTTTGCTTCTCTCTGTCCTCCAAAGACAACTCTAGCAGAAGGCAGTTCCCCCATAGGCACGAGCATTTTTATAAAAATATATTTGGCCTATAGCGTCCTGCTCTTTGAGCTCCCCACCGGCAAACTGAAGCGGTAGGCATGGGGACCCTCCCCGTAGAGAGTCTAGATTAGGTTGTGTGTGTGTGTGTGTGTGTGTGTGTGTGTTTAATCTTTTTTTATTTTTTTAAATGTTTTTTAAATTATTTTTTTACAGGTTCACCAACGGAATCCTGTGTGGAAAGAAAACAAGAAAAGATTAACTAGCAGGGAGGGGGGGGGGGGGGGGGGGGGGGGGAGGGGGCGGGGCAGATGAGGTCTGCGGCCCCTCTAAGCCTCCATGACCGAGCCCCAGGCTGTTTGCTGGCTCGCAGAGGGCAGGGTCTCCTGCCCTGGGCACTGGGGACTGGAGTGCCTGCTGGGATTCCCAGGGACCTTGTGCTAATCATAGTCACAGATGGAGGAGCTGTAGCTTCTACATCAGGAGTGGGTCTGGGGCTGGGACCACCCCTGCACTCACTCTGCTAAGGGGGCCCTGTCCCCCAAGCCTGCAGCGGACTGAAGGCATCCAGCACCGCTGCTGACTCCCTTTCCAGCTTTGACCCGCCAGGAGTGGAGGGGACGCCCACCCCACTCCTGGATGGTGGGAAGCCATGGGGTCCCCTTCAACCCCCTGGTCAGCTGGAGGCTCCCTGAGGCTGGGACTCGGAGAGGTGAATGGATTGCATCAGAAAAACTGACCCGGGGGCTCCCCAAGAGGTGATCTTGCTGAAGAGGGAAAGAGGGCGCGTCCCTCCTGCTCGCAAGCCAAGTCGGCTGACTGCAAAGAAGGGCGGCCCTTCCCTAGCCCACAGGAGCGTCAGATGATAGGAACGCCAGTCTTCCTGCCTCGGTGACGGACCCCAGGGGTCAGCATCTCCCCGACAGCCAGAGAGCTGCGGCCTTTCTGGGCATGGCTAGGGGTGTGGCAACACGTCATGGCTCAGCCTGGAGGCACTCTTGCTGGAAGGACGGGGCACGGTTTCTCTCTGCTGTCACTTGGAGCCCCTGCAGCCCACAACTACAGGACACGAGAACCCTCCCAACAGTACCCAGGGGGAGGACGCTGCCCCTCCCCTACGCCGGTAAGACAACCAGGCAGGTGACACCAATTCTGAAATGAAAGCCAGAAGCCGCGGGCTGGAGCTCTGGGGTGTCCACTGCGGCTCCCGGCACAGCGGCAGGACTGGCCCTGTCCTAGTCACCGGCAGAGCCCCTCGGAAACACACTCCTGCACTGTCCGCACCAGGACAGTCTCCTCCACCAGGTCGGGGGCGAGGAGGCTCGTCTTCTCTCTGGGAACCCCCCTGGCCTGGACAACAAGGCGGGGCCCCCGCTGCCTCCTCACCTTCCCCTGTACCTGCACATGACACACTTAGCCCACCCTGACGTGGAGCGTCCACGCATCTCCCATGGCACCATGTGCTCTGCTGTGGGCGGGGTGTCCCCCCGCGTAAAGAACCCGGGTGCCGGACTGCCCTCCGCAGCTTTACTCCAACGGAGTCTGCCCCTGCTCACCGCCACTTTCCAGGATGGGACGGGGTGGGGGGGTAAAAAACGAAGCCATCGAAACGGAGAGAACTGTCCCTCCTGGATGTCTGTCCTCACTCTAATTTTTGGAAAGCTAAAAAACGTGGAGACAAGTGCCCCCTGACTCCGCCCACGCGAGCAGCCAAGTGCAGAGAGCCTGGGAGGAGAAGGGGCGCCACGGGGTGGGGGAGGGGCGGGGGGTGCGTGTCTTGGGGGCTGAGTTCCAGTTTGGGACGATGAGGGAGTTCTGGAGACGGGTGAGGGATGCCCGACGTCGTGAATGGGCCTGATGCCAATGGACTGAATCGCTCAGAACGGGGAAAACGGTCCATTTCATGTCCGTTACGTGTTACCGCCATTTTAAAAGTTAAAAAATATACATAAAAAATATACGGAGACACAAAAGCCTGTGCCTGGCGACTGCTGGCCCAGGTCTGCCAGCCCGGGACCCTGTCTGGGGGGAGCAGCGCCCCCTCCTCGCCAGCAGAGGGTCCTGGGTTGGAGCACCAGTCAGACGGCTGTCCCCTCATGAAGGGTTTCCTGAGAGGACTGTCACCAGGCTGCTGTCCGATCCTTTATTCTGATGGTAACCACACCAATGGAGGGGGCAGGAGCTGCCTCGCCCCCTCTCTCGTGCCCGCCATCTCATGGGTGGTTTTCCGTTCGAGGTTTATGTGGCCACTGTCCCACCTGACGTCTTCAGCGCCTCTGACCGGGACAAGGTCCTGCCTCCTCGCCTGGCATCCCTCCGCCTCCAGGTTCCATGTCCTTCGAGGGTCTGCAGACAGTCAGCTCCCTGGGGAGGCCTCCCAGACATCCCCTGCTTTGCTAAATGCAATCTCTGTTCATCCTTGTCTGTTGGAGCGCGCTGTTGTGGGACTTCGCAGGATGAGCCAGGTGGGCTCTCCTCTGAGTGTGTGCACGCCCACATGTCATCGCAGGGGTCACGGGGTGCCTGCTAGGTCCGCCCAGGCTCCAGCTCTGTGCCTTGCCCGGAGTGGGCCATCGGTACTGGATATCGCTTGGGGAAGAGGCGACCGTGAGGAGGTCGCCTTGTCCTCGGCCTCTGAGGCTGACGACCTCCAGGTGCCGCCGGCAGGTGGGTTAGGACGGCCGCATCCGAGCACTGGCGGAGGGGCCCTCGCGCTGCCTGGGGATGGAGCCTCTTCCAGACCTACGGGCATCTACCTGTACCCAAAGTCCCAGGATGAAAGAGGCAGAGGGAGAGGGGCAGGGAGACAGCTCCCACTCTGTGCCCTGGAGAGCCATGCTGACTCTGGCAGAGGCGGAGGGGTTCTCTGCAAGGGGCTGCGGCCAGGGCGGCATCACCCCTTCAGGCCAGGAGCAGGGGCACGGGGCTACCCACGGCCACTTTCCACGTCTGCCCGATGTTCCTGCTACTTGCACCCAGCTCATGGGAGGGCCTGCGTCTTTCTGTTCCCAAGGCTCGGTATATGAACCTCTCGGTGGGGCGCTAACCCTGAGAGGGACCAGAGAAGCAAAGGAGCGAGTGCCGCCCCCCGCCCCCGCCACCGCCCTGACCTGGCTGGAGAAACATGGTGCAGGCATCCACACCTGGTCCCCCGCCAGAAAGGGGAGCTGTGTGTTGCAAAGTGGTCTGAGAGATGGGGACCTGGGATGAATTCTGACTCTGGAGAAACTAGTGCCCTCTGCTGCCTGGAAAGAGATCCTGGGCTCGCCTGGGCCCCACCGGCCGCAGACCACACATGTCCCAGGCTCTAAGATCAGCGTCTGCTTTTGCAAAACAGACAAAAGCCTGTGGCAAGAGCTCCCCGAAGCCAGGGGCTGCAGTCAATGTCCTGCGTCCTGAAGGGGCTACTTTGCCACCAGGTTTTCTTTGCAGCTGGTGCTCCGCTGAGACAGACGGGTCGCCGACGTGCTCTGCACGTTGCTTTGAACACGGCGTTCCTCTGAGTTGTGAAAGCTTGGGTATTCTGTTAATGTGTTTTTTTAGAACAAAGCGGGAAGGCTCAGGTGCTTTTCTCGGTTTTTATTAGTTATGTCTTCTGTGTGTTTTTGAAAATAATAATAACACATGATTTATTTCTTACTGGCTTCAGACGCGAGAACTTTTATTACTTTTCGGGCTCTGTTGGGAATAAAGTGGCCTTGGCCAATGCAAAGATCTGAACACTAATGAGGTTTTCAGGAGTTTACTTGTTGGATGAAAAATGACAGGAAATTAGCCCGAGAGCCAATGGCAGACGCGTGTCCTCAGCCCCTGTCCTGGGCGTGCGGGAAGGTCAGAGCGACGGGGTGCCCCTGTGGAGGTGGTCTGTGTCAGGAATTTGCCGGAATCGACGACAGAGGCCGGATCAGGGAGACCGGGTGGACGTCTGCTCAGGCTATGGAACCGGTGTCTGGGAATGCAGGCACCGCCAGCTCCCTGCCCACAGGGCAACGAACGTGGCCACTCCGGGTCCCCCCGTGTGCGTGGGGTCAGCGTGAGCAGACAAGATGGCATGGCAACAGCGTCCTCTGTCATCGTTAAACATGCATTTGGAGAGACTCAGCAGCCATACAAGAGACAAACACCTCCACTGGCTCTTCAACCTTAATTAAATGTTTTCGTATTAATTGGTATTTATTTAAGGGACAATAAATACCCTAGTAAATCTGAGCCATCTTCCTTGCCTTTCCCCGCTCGATGCTCCTGTCCAGGCATTAATTGCAAGAATCAGGGATACTTAGAATCCGAAGGCTTTCCTCGCAGGGCGTGATGAACGGTCTTTCCGGCACGCGGTGAGGAAACCTGCGAGCATTTATCAAAGGCTAACGAGACTGTGTGCGGAGCCCTCCCGGTCCGCGTCTGCGGGAACAGGACTAGCGCTCCCAGGTGTGGCGGCTGCACCTGCGGGACTCAGGCGGTCCTGTTGGCTCTTCTCAGCTCCCAGACGGCCCGCCCCGGTGAGGGGGTCAAGCTCTTCGGAAGAAGCTGTGTCCCCTCCTGCGGACGGGGGTGGTCCTGAGACTGCTCCTTGGACAGCCTGGCAGGTGGGACGCAGACACCTGGAGAGGAACGTGGTCCAAGTGGCGGATGGGGAGAGCCCACAAACAGAGTGTGGGGTCCTCCAATGCCCTGTGTTGCTAGAAGAGAGAACTGGAACAGGAAACCTTTCTGCAGCAGAGGACTCCATAAAAGCTCTTTTCTACTATTTTCTTTTTTTTTTGTTTTAGGCTGGGCTGCGGCTCCTAGCTCCAGAGTATGGCTGAAGAGGTTGGTGGCTCGGGCTGTGGGGCACGTGGGAGCTGGTCTCCTGCTCTGCAGACTTGAACTGAACGTCCCAGGATGCCAGTGGACTGGGAAAACTTACCGCCGGCTGCCACCGACTCTCGTCTTGGCCGGGACCAGGCTGGGGATGGCACAGGGCGCAGAGGCATAGCGCGGGGGCGGGGTGGTGGCTCTCTGACGACGGGCAGAGCCAGGCCACCTTGGACTGACCCGAGCAACCTGACCTCAGGCAAGTCACTTAATGGCTTCGTGCCTCAGTTTCCCCTCTGTAAAGCGGCGTTCCTGGGAGGATGGTAGGAGTCCCCAGATGTAAAGAGGGCTCCGTAAGTGCCCATTAGGGAAAGTCTACATTAGGGAAACTGCTCCCCCCCACCCCGCCCCCCAGCCCCTGCGCCTGGAGCGAAGGGCGTGTCCGCCTCCAGGCCCGGAGCCTGAGCTCTTGAAGGAAGGGAGCAGAGGCCATGACATGCAGGGCCACATCAGTGTCTTGTGTGGTTACACATTTTTAAAGTCCTAACAGGGATGCTGGCGGTCCTGGGCACCCTGCAGAGGGTTCTCTGAGCCGACGGGAACTCTGCAGATAGTAAGCAGCTCCTTGTTGCTAGAACTCCCCAGGGGACTCTGCTCCGCCTTAGTGAGGTGAGTCACGCTGAGGCAGACAAAGGCTCTGATGGGTGGACCACGCGGCACCTCTGGCCCTGAATTGTCGGGGATGCATCAGGTCTCACCTAATTTGCCTGCATGGTCTCAACGAAGGCCTTTTGCCGGGGGAGGGAGGAGTGCTTTCCATTCTCATCTAATCACATTTCTTGGCCCGACGGCAGAACCTCATGCAAGCTGGTCATTTTGGCTTCAGGACAGGAAGCGAGGGCTGGAGATTTGATTTGGAGCCAACACCTGCTTCATTAGGGCTGGAGGAGGACTGACCCGTTCACTCCTATTTCCAAAAGCTGTGAGCTCCTCCAGCCCTGGCTCTGTGCGGCGAGCCCGGCCCCCGAGGGGCACATGGGTGTCCCCAGGAAACACCTCCTACCCACCCTGACGATGACTTCTGCGTGAGAGGGCGGCGGGCAGAAGGAAGAAGCAGTATTTTCAAATACCGATAACGCAGCCTAGAAACTGGGCTCCCTACTCAGGGAAGGGATGTGATGTCACAGAGCGTCCCCGGATGAGACAAAAACGAGGATCCTTAGAAAACCCAATATCAAAAAGGAAAACAAACGCAAAGAGCCCAGAGCCCGGGTTGCCTGTACTGACTGCACGCAGACTGTGTACAGTCCTGGGGGCAAACGCTTTCTCCCCCAGCAGCCCGAGTGTTCTGGAGACTCGGTGCAGAAGAAAGCAATTTAACGTTAGCATTAAAGTTAATATCACTGAAAGCAAACCAAATGTTCCCATCCAGCAGAGCGTGGAAAATTCATCCTGTTTTGGTGCCGGTCCCTGGCTTCATATTAGTAGATGTCTCAACTCTTCCTTTATCATTTCCCTTCCTATCTCTTATTTTTATATTCCAAAATTGTATTTTAATTCTACTTCACGTCCCCCACCCCGATGTAGAGACGTCCGATGCAGGGGTGATGCTCGCCTGCATAGCCCCCTCCCGGGTCTCCCTGGGTTTTCCTGGTGGCTGGCTGCTCCGGCTGGGGCCTTCCCCGGGGGACGGTGCTGCCATTCCTGGTGTGTCTGTCCTCCCTCCACGGGGGTTATTTCTAACAAGTACAGCAGAGAGACCACAAGCCCAGCCCTCCAGGCTTGCCCTCGGGGCAGCAACACCATCGGAATTCCACCTTCCATGTCCAGAAGGGCTCCCAGTTGTCCCAGAGTGGAGGAGGGGGAGGGGGAGAGGTGGGGAAGGGGAGGCAAAGAGGGAAAAAAAATCAATCGATGTCTATAACGAGAGGTACGTACCATAATACAGACACGTGGCGTCTGCCCTGCCCCCAGGAGGTAAACAAGACTTCCGCCAGTCAGCAGGAGATTTCAAACCATTTCTCAGACACAAAGGCCACAGGAATAAGGTGCCGATCAGAGGAGGAGGGTCTGTGGCAAGCAGAAAGATGGGCTTGCGTGCGCTTGTGCGGAGCAGCTGACCGGCGGGCCGGCTAGCGCGGCCGCCCAACACTGGCCTCTTGAGCCGGGAAGAACCCAGAAAGGTAATGCTCAGCCCGGACCCACTGGCCTTCGGCGGGAAGGGGGCCCTCTCCCTGCGGCCCGCTAACACCCACGTGCACCCTGGAAGGCCTTGGAGGACACGGAGCCTGAGGGACAGTGTGCAGAAGGAAGCTGGTATTCCAGATCTTAGTTTTTTAATTTGTGGGACAAGCGCAAAGCTTGGGGTCTCCCCCCTCCAGGGGCAGGGATCCCGCCTGCTTTGCTGCACGCCCACGATGGAGTGGGCGGGGCCTGACTCCTGAAATGGGGCTCTTGGAATTTGTCACTTTTGAGACCAAAGCTACCATGTCCAAAGGCCAGGGAGAGCCAACAGAGCATTGCCTTAGGCAAAAAAGCAAGAACCTGTTCCACCCAATGCTTCTGAGCCAGGGCTAAGGGCGCTGGCAGTGCCCACCTTGCCCGTGGATGGGGCAGGGCCAGAGGGGCACCAGGGGGAACGGCCATGTGGCCGCTCAGCATCCCACCCCTTCCCCCAAACTGAAGCACTGGTTGGCCAGGATTCACATCCAAACCAACACACGCGCCCTCCGTGAAATGGTTTGAAATCCTTTCGCCAATTCTTTGTGCACCGGGCCTTCTGGAAGGCTGGGATGCCACCAGGAGCTCCCCAGACGTGACAGAGTCAAAGCAGCATGGGCCGGAAGGACAGTCCTGAGTCCCTGCTCTCCACCCTCCTGAGCTGGGAAGGGAGCATCCCAGGGAATACTGCGGAGTCCAACGTAGAGATGCAGCGGGGGGTGGTGGGGTGCGGTTAAGGCAGACCCCCATTCTCACAGCCAGGATGAGGGCCCGTTAACCATGGGCACCACAGCTGGACGTCACCCTGAGTCTCCTCGACCCTGGTTCTGGGAGGAACGCTTGCGGGCCCCTGGGGCATTCACTCCTCGCGGCTACTCCTGCCACTGACAGGGGGCCCCTGGCGTCCTCCTGGTTTCCTATTCGTTTCTTCCTAAGATGTTTAAGGGGTTGGAAACTTCTCTCTTTTAAATTTACAAAATGGTGCATGTGTATGCTCCCTTAAAAAAAAAAATAGCTTATTGATATTTTAATCTAATTCCAGATAAACCCCCGGAAGCTGACTCGAGGGTTTCTTAAATGTTCCCAGGGATGGTTTCAGGGCCATGTCTTCTTTGAAGGATTAACCAAGATTAATAAAAAGGAGCATTTAATAATCAGGAGTCTGGCTGGTATTTGATATTTTGCGAGAAGCGCCGCTGACATCTTCCTGATGGGCGTTCAGAGAGACTGACAGGGAGCGTGTTGATAGCGGAGGCCCAGGGCTACCAGCCAGACAGGACGCCTGCTCGGCCTCCAACAGGTGGTGTCCAGGGCGGGGAGGGCCTTCTGTCAGCTCCCCGAGGGTGCGGCCTGGAGACGACTGCGGCTGCTGCGGGTTCTGTCTCTGGTTGGTACAACACCTCCTTCTGTCTACCCCGCCCCCTCCTTTTGCCAGGCCAGCCGTGTGCACTTGCTCAGCCCCCTAAGGACCCATGAAGGGTGCTCCCGCCCCCCAGGCCAACAGCGCCCGGTGACGATGCTGGGACGTCAGGGTCTGGCCCAGGCCCGAGCTTACCGGTTCCCGTTAAACGTGGATTTGTACTCAGCTGTCGGGTGTAGCGTCTCGTCGGTGTACATGGGCACGGACGCCCGGACACACTCGTGGGAGCACTGCAGGGTCTCATTATAGGCCGTGAATATGTCCAGGCTGCTGGGCACCCGGGCGGGGGTGAAGTCCGTCAGGTTCTGGCAGCTCTCCTCCTGCTGGTTGACCTTCCGCTGGCGGCTGTTCCGACGTGTGCTCCCGCTTTGGGCGCAGCTGGAAGACAGAGGAGTCGGGCTGGGGGTGCGGCGGGCAGGGGCCGGAAGCCAGCACTTAGACAGGGGCACCTTCGTCTCCAGGCATTAATTATGCGTCATTTCATATTAGATGGTAATTCCCAGCCTCTTCACAAAGACCAACCACAATGAAACAATCAGCTCGCTCTCTCTCTTTCCCTGTTTTGTTTTTTGTTGTTGTTGTTGTTGTTAATAAAATTTGAATTTTAATGTGGCCATTATCACAGGGCAGATGAAGAAGAAAGTATCTGAGCTGTGTTATCCCAGAGCTGAGGCCTCGTCTGCCGGAAGGATGTCAGCCGGGCAGTGGTGGCTCAGTTTCCCCATGAAGGGATGGGTACAGGTGGGGCTAGTCTGGTGGCTCATTCTGGAAGGGGCTATGTAACCATCATCGGGGAGAATTATTACATGGGGGACCCTGCGTCCTCAGCCCTGCCCTTGCCCAGGCTCCCAAGCTGGAAATGAACACGGATTGTCCATCCTTCACGGCCATCAGGTCCGTGGGGAGATCTGGTCTGCATGACCCACAGAAGCTTCCCTGTTCCTCTGGACCACACAGCCCTCTCGGTACCACCAAGGATGGACATGGGAATCCTGGCCTTGTCAGCCAAGGGATCTGGGGGAGCGGGCCATCGGTGACCTCTCCCAGTCACTTCAGCAAGTCACAGGAGGGATGAGTGGAAGTCCCATCCCAGTGGAGGAGAGCAGCTAGGAGGAAATTTGGGGAGCCCCAGCTTGGGGAACCAGTTCCCCTTCTCGCCTCCCTGCTGTGCTCAGAGCCAATTCAGAAGGATGTGGTCGTGACAGGCGAGGGTCCATGAGCCCACCTTCCTGCAAGTTACGGACATGCCCTGTCTCATTTTGCAATGAGAGGAGCCCTGCTTCCTGGTGCAGAAGCCCCACCCCATAAATTAGGGTGGGAAGAGAAATGCAAAAGCCAGGGGACACCCCCCCAAGGTCATGGAACATCCTCATCATTGCCTGGGTGGTCATCCCCAGAAGAACTCTCTGAGGCTTTGCTGCAAACCCCAATGTGGGAAACCAAGAGGGGACAGTGTCCCCCATCCCCTCTGCAGGCTGTCAAGATGGTCGATGGCATTTGTCCAGCCACACATCCATGGGATCCTGGGCCCCAGAGTCCCTTCTTCTGCCAGGCCCTGCCCAAGATGCCTCATGGTGAGTTTAGAGTTGTCCTCATCACCGCTCCCAGAAAATGCCCTGGGACTCGGGTTTGCTGGCCTCCGGGAGGCCTCACTTATTTGCTGTGAGGTCTGCTTTGGAGCTGTGCCAGTCCCCACCCTCTCAGCTCTGCTAACCCAGGAGACTGGCTTTCTCTCGGATCGCTGTCATCGGGACACTGGGGAGCAGCTGCCACCCATCAGCCCCATGTGACTTCTGACCACCTCCTGCCGACGACCGCGGGATGGTCTGGGTGTACTACTCTACAAGGAGTCCGACCTCCTTGTAGAGGACACATTTGCTGGAGGGGTGGCTGCGGGCAGATGGGGCCTCAGAGGCGTGTGTGCGGCAGAGTCACCCGGCAGTGCCCGATTTTCCCTGGGGTGTAGCAGGTGTGCTCACCTAGCAAGGCCAACCTCAAAGTAGGCCAGTTTCCAGGAGGAAACAGGCAAAGACCAGCTACCCGGAGAAAAGCAATAACCTAGTTCGACAGACACTCAGCGGCCGCAGGAGGAGGGAAGGGTTCAGTCCGAACACGGCCCCTACACAGCCAGGACAGCGAGGGGTGGGCGCCGGCGCACCCAGGCCGCTGGCGTGTTGGGTGGGCGGTGTCGACAGGCACGCGTGACGCTGACACAGGCTTCGGAGACCAGAACATGGGCTGCCCGAGAAACTGTGATGAGGCGGGGATCGCTCGCCTCCTGCGGGGAAAGCCATGGTCAGGGGCACACCCCGTCCAAGGCCAGTGTCGGGCAGTGTGGCACCTGCACCGGCCAAGCTGCCCTGGGGCTGAAGACGAGTGGGCTGCACCAAGGCCACGAGCTGCCCCCGATTCTCTGGCCCAGATGAGGGAAACAATGCCCTGGGATGCGAGGCAGGCCCCGGTCTGAGAAGTAGGAAACACTCTGCGCACACTTCCCGGGGGACCCCCACAGCCCCCGTGTCCAGGCCAGAGGGGCCGAGGAGCCTTACCAGTTTTTTAAGACAAGAGTTGTAATCAGAGCAGCTATGACCATGATGAGGGAGACAGTGATGGTGATAATCTGATGGACAGCCAGACCTGGAAAAGAGGAAGGGGAAGCAGCCATGAGACCCGGGCACGAGACACAGGGACCCAGGAAGGGCGGGCCGGCTCCTGCACACTCAGGTCTCTCCTTCCCCACGGCAGGTGCCGGCAGGAGCTGGGTCCCCTGGAGTCCATGAAGGGAGGCCCCGGCCCTGGCATCTCTTGGTTCCCCTGCTGTCACCAAGCCCACGGGCAGCTGTGTCCTTTCCTGCACCTGCCAAGCCCTTCACCTGGCCCAGGCAAGCTCTGGCTGAGGCACACCCCCGGGACCTGTCACCCTTCCTCCGCCGGCTCCCACCTGGGTGGGTTCTCCGTTCTGAGCACTAGGCCTTTGAGTGGGAGCAGGTTTGGCCGGATCCAAGAGGGGCCAAAGCAGCCCAGGATTTGTAGGGAAGGGAGGAGAGAGTGGACAAGTGTTGACCTCCTGGCAGGGGTTCACTGGAGGAACCTTCCTCTCTCCAGAGTCCTCTCCCAGCGGCTCATGGCCTGTTGAGGTTCCAGGAATCAACGATTTGGGCCTCGCAGCTGATGCTTCTCAAAAGCCTGGAAAGGGACCTGCAGTCTAGCCTCTCTGGCCTGTGTCTGTTGTGTGTGTGCACAGGGAAGGAGGGTGCAGGGGTGCCCTGCGGGGGGCAAGTCAGGGACAGAAGCAGGGCGGCCTGAGACCCGCCTGAGAGTTGTCTGGGAACCCCACACGGGGAGAACAGAGGCCCAGGATTCTCTCCTACACTGTCCCTCCGTCCCCACCCTTGCACCACCTTCCACTAAGCACAGAGGCAGGGGTGGGAGGTGAGGCTCCCAGCTCCGGTGTTCCACCAAGGCTATGTTCCTCCTGACAAAGCACCTGTCACATCCTTCCTGGAGCACGGACACTGGGGACATGCCCAGCAGACGCTGCTGGTCCATAAAAGCCACGTGCAAAGGCCCTGTCCTCCTCCGATCAGGAAGATCCCTTCCTACCTGAGGAGCTGGGCCATAAAGGTCCCGGGGGTGGGGGAGGGCTGCGGTGAGCCCTGCAGCGGGCAGCACCTTGTGTCACCAAAGGGCTAATTTCCCCGTGTCCTCGCACCTGTGAGGTGTAAGCACTTGCCTCTCGCCACTGCTGGAGTCCCCGGCAGAGACCCACCTGCCACCCCCCGAGGAGCCCAGCGGGTCCCTGGGTGAGAACGAGCGGGTGCACGCGGCCCGCCGTGGAGGATTTCGGAATGTGCGATTTTCCTGGCGGTCTCCCAAGGACACAGTCTCGCAAACAGATGTTACCTCTCCACTGAGTACGATCCTCGTGGGGAAATTGCTAATAAATGATTCAAAGTTGGCATGGCCAGAAAACAAGCTTTCTCTTCCTGTTCGCCCGTCTTCGGGGCTATTTCTGCTGGTCGTGAGGGATTCCCATCCTGAGCCCACAGGATAAGCACCACCAGGAAGACAGGAGAAGACGTGGATGTGGCGGAAAGCCCTTCAGGTGTTCCTTCATGCCCCGACTCCAGAGCCGTTACGGAGCGCCTACTGCATGCAAACGCTCTCCGCTTCGACGAGCTCGGCAGGTCAGCTTCCCTAGTGCCCGTTTCTTCACTTGATCTCAGCCAAAGCCTGAGAAGCGATCTAGCCCCCCCCCCCCTTTTATTAAACGACAGCATCTACTGCTGGTTCTGGCCCAAGAAAGGGGCCTCGTCACCTTCATACCCACCCCAGTCCCGCACACCCTCTAACACAGCCGCCCTCCGACTGTCGCTCTGTGGCTGATCACATTTATACCTGAAAAGGAGAAAAGAAAAACCAGCGGAGCAGCGAGAAACATAACGATAGAGTCCCAAGCTCTGCCTTATTCTGGAGGCGCTTCTCCTGCCTTTGGTGTGAAACCTCCTCCATAGAACTCACCACTTGAATTGTGGCGGAAACGAGAACTGGGTTAATAACCAGGCAAGGTCACGGGCTACGCGTTCCGGGACTTCTTTGTGCGGGACACCTTGCCAAGCTTCCCCTGTGATCCGTCGAAACCATCAGCAGCAGCAGCACTTTCGCACCTGCCTGACCGACGAGGAGCCTGGGCTGAGGAGTAAAGCGACTTTCCCACCGTCGTCCGGCAGAGCCAGGACCAAAGGCAATTCTCTGCTCTGAGCCTCCAAGAAAATCCAGCATCGGACGCCCAGCTAACCCATCTGTAGCTGCCTCCTGGTCGTCAGACTCGCCAGAGGCGGACACCCGAGGACCCCTCCCGTATTTGACTTGCAGGGCAAACAGCCTTCTGCTGCAGCGCCTGACCCCCGAGTTCTGACGGGCCCCTGGGCTCACGCATGGGAGATCCACAGTTACAAGAAGATCTCATAGACCCCATGCTCATGACGGTGGGACAAGGATCAGGCCTTTTGACATGTGGCAAGAATGACACTTGTAAGCAGCAGGTTGGAAGACAGGAAACCCATAAGGATGACTCCTGGCTTCCTGTCTCAGGGAGGTGGGCTACTAAGCAGAGGACAGAACAGCATGTGAGAAGCGGCGTCCTCTTCCAATCATCTGCCCGTTACTCAGTCCTCCCCGAGTGCCAAGAGTCCTTTCTTCATCTGCGAATATCCCTCAAGTCTTTGTGTGGACGCCGGGTGAGTGAACCTTGCTACGCAGGGCCAGAGAGTAAATATTTTAGGCTTTGTGAGCAGTGTGGTCTCTGTCGCAATGTCCCAATCCAGCCATTATGGGGCAAGAACAGCCATGGATAATATGGGAAAAAATGGGCGTGGCTATGTGCCAATAAAACTTTATTTATAAAAACAGACAACAGCCAGATTTGACTCACAGGCTGTAGTTTGCTGGCCACTAATTTAGGTGAATAGCTGAGTGTTTGCTTTATAAATTAAATAGAATATGTATCTATTTTGAAAGATTGATTAAAGCTGGGATTCAAACTGCAGACTTTTGGTTTCTGAAGACTAGAATCTTCCCTCTCCATCATTAAAGGTTTCCTGAGTTCTGAGAATGTCACCAGCCACTGCCAAGGGGATTTCAAGGACAGCCACTGCCTCTACCGTGGCAAGCCGGACGCTCACAGTCAGCAAAGGGCAGCTCTGTCCTGCTGGCTTTGTCCACATGAGCCTGGCTTCAGAAAAGATCACTTCGTGTGACAGTTTCCTCGAGAATCCAACGAGACAGGATTCTTGATTTTTGGAAACCAAACTCCAGGGAGAATTTTATCAGTTTAGTCCCTCTAAGGACCCTCAGAAATATTTCAGCCACATGTCTTTCAATTTTCTCCATTAAGGTTGAAAAGGAGCTGCATTTTGCAAAAAGACAAGAACGTGCAGATCTCAGAACTGGTGTGTCCAGCCACTGGCTCTCCCTGCCCCATACAAATGGTGGGGTTCTTAGGAGGTTATCCCCCCTGATTCTCTCCCTCCTCACTAACTTCTCCCAGCGCTCACACCTTCAACAGTGTTCCCTCAGGTCGGGTCCCTTGTGGACATGACACAGTGCAGGTGGGAACATCTGTCCCACAAACCCTACTGACCCCGGGCAAGGCAATGCTTGAATAGTGTCTACGCCAGCTATCAGGCAGGCCGTGACCGGTGAACAACGATGTCACTGGAGGGAAGGTACACCCAGGAAAGGGCAGAAAACCCAAACTTCGCCTCTCCATTTACAAGGTCAGTACCAAATCCATCTTCAAATTCTCTGTGGTTCAGTCATGGTCCCAGAGAGCACCGCACGCCGTGGAGGGGTTCTTACTTCCCCTTCCTGACAGGTGTTGCCGCTCCTGCTAATTTAGGGGCTCTCTCGGCTCCTGGTAATTGCCACTGTATACTAATGTGCGAGGAATCAGCTGCCATCCAGGTAATGAAAAATTATACCTGGAATGATGGATGGGGACAGATGGATTAGCAAAGTCTGCATCAATCAATAGGGCTTTTATGGTTATATTTGTGGGGGTTTGTAATAAGATCAGGTCCTAGAGATTGATGGGAGCTGGTAATCCATCTCCGGGGCTGGATGACTTTCTCATTAAAAGAAGCCGAATCGAATGCGGGCCACTGTCCATGGCAAAAACCAACCCGCCGAGAGCCTTCTCTCCTAGCGCCCGGGGCGTGTGCGTGGCGCACCGCGCTGGTGCGCTGGGACGGCGGCAGGAGCGATGGCGCTGGGACGTGCTGAGGCAGAGGAACCTCGTAGCTCACCGCGCGGTGCCGGGACCTCATGTGCCTGCACCCTGGGAACCAAGGACGGTGACCGGTGAGTCCAAAATTGTCTGTCTTCACGGGCTTGAGGGGTGAGAGGGCACAGGGGGTTCCCAAAGAACCAATCACACGGCGAAAACAACATTCCTTTTCCACAAAGGCTGCAGAACGCTCGCTCGTGGCACGTCTCTAACGGCCCGGGGAACGCGGGAAGCTCGCCGCGTGTGCTGCACGACACCAGGCGGTCTGGCCCCGCTCTCCGGAGAAGGACGCCCTCTGAGGCTGGGACTTGTTCTGAGCCACTGGGCCACCTCCTGGGACAGGGAGCTGCTGAGGGAAAACGTGTCTTCCCAAACCAGGGTGTTCTCAGAGAAACAGGTTAGTGTCCGGGGCGGGGGAGACGAAGGAGCGTGTCATTTCCTGAGGGACCCTGCCCGGTGTTCCATGCGGTGGGGGGCTGGGGGGGCCCAGGGCCAGGACCCCGTGAGAGCAAGATGCCTCCCGCCGGACGCTCTTTGGCTTAGGGCAGGGCTCTCCCGGACAGAGAAGAGAGCCCCAGCCTGGAAGGAGCTGTGCGAACACCTCGGGATAACATGGGGAAGGCGAAGGTGAGTCCTCGAGACATCCCCCCAGGGACTCACGTCAGACTGTCCTCAGCCGGCGACCGGTGGCCCTATCTGAGACACCTCTGGTGGTCACACAGGGAAGAAGAGGTCCTCCTGGCATCGAGGGGATAGAAGCTGAAGACGCCAGCTCTGTCTTCCTGTGCACAGGACAACCCCATAAGGAGTGACCTGGCCCCAAACGTCATTCACTAACAAAAGGAATGCG